CACATTTCCACATGATGATAAGCCACTTCGTTGAGCTATCATTTGTGGCCAGGTCGCTTCTGAAATAAGAGCTACGTAGCCCTGTGGGCCTTACCTGCTAAGATACGATTTAAAAAAAAAACATGTTTTAGGTTTTGATTTAAAGCCTTCACACCTGATGATGATTGCTTGTGTTGCAGTCCAAACGTCGTGAGAATTTTATTGTTTTATATGTTTATTATTTTATTGTTTCCCTTCTACGTGACTTTACCGAAAGAACCAAGAATGTTTTAGATTACTTGAGTTTCCGGTTCAATGTGAGTCTCTCGTTCTGTGTCAATGAGTGTGGGGGAGCGGTGGCGCAGTAGTTATCAACACAAGTTGCATTCCCGCTCACAGTGAAACATCGGTGATTAATATCTGAACCGGTACTGGGCCTCCCCTAGGTCGACTCAGCCTCAAATGAGTACCTGGTGCGGTGTGTAAACATCGCCACTGGGGAGACGAAGACGGTCGGGCGTGGTGCTGACCACGCTCTCGTGTGCCGTGCCGGCCTTCATAGATACTCGCTAACAGCACTTGCCCCAACAGTCTGCGAAAGACTATACGGGGGATCTTTGTCTTTGTTGTATCTGGCACAGTTTTGGGGGGGGCACAGATGGTGCAGATGCCGCTAATCTAAATTCATTAACCCAGACACCTGCTGGGTCTGTCCCGTGAATTCCTGCCAACGAGCCTTCGGCACTTCACGTGATGGCCTCAAGGTGCACCTAGCCTGGCACATGCGCCGTGGGGACGTCACCGCCACTTTGTGGCGGACGGCGGCTGTTGTCGTATCTCGGTGCGTGCGGTGTTTGCGGTGTATCTGTGTGCGTGGTATATCTGATTGTGTTGTGTCAGTGTGTATGTCGGTGTGTGTGTCGGTGTGTGTCTTTGTCGACTCAGCCTCAAATGAGTACCCGGTGCGATGTGTAAACATCGCCACTGGGGGAGACAAAGGCGGCCGGGCGTGGTGTTGGCCACCCACCCCCCTCGTGTGCCGTTCCGGCCTTTATAGGTGCTCGCTAACAGCACTTGCCCCTAGAGCCTGTTAAGGCTACACGGGGGATCTTTGTCTTTGTTGTCCAGTATCTATGTGCATCAGTGTTGTGTATCTCTGCCTCTGGGGGAGCGGTAGCGTAGCGGTTGGCGCGGATCACTCCGAACCACTCACCCCGGGTTCGATTCCCGCTCACGGCCAACACCAGCGACGATTATCTGAACCGGTCCTGGGCCTCTCCTAGGTCGACTCAGCCGCAAATGAGTGCCTGGTGTGGTGTGTAAACATCGCCACTGGGGAGACAAAGGCGGCCGGGCGTGGTGCTGGCCAACATGGTCCGTTCCAGCCCTCATTATGTGCTCGCTAACAGCACTTGCCCCAACAGTCTGTTAAAGCGTTAAAGGCTACACGGGGGGATTTGTCTTTTGTTGTGTCTGTGTTTGTGTGCGAGTGCCCCCCCCCTTCCCGTGCCCCCTCCCCCACCGCCATCCTCTGAATGTGAGACCCCCCCCCCCCCGCATGGCTCCGCTCTTATCAGGCCACGTGCACGCCGGGTCAACTGACGGCTCCAGCCGATGTTTTGAAAGCGGCGTAAACATGTTTATTCCTGGAGACCCCGACTCAACCACAACCATCCCCACCACCACAATCCCCAATCCCACGCTCACCCGAACCCGCTATCCCCAATCCTGACTCTAACCCCCGCCCATAGCTCAAACCCAAGTCTAGCCCCTAACCTTATCCCCAAATCCTTTCTCTCACCCCCAGACATAGCCCTCAATCCCTAAACCAGCCATAACCCAAACCCAAATCTCTCACCCAAGTCTAGCCCCTAACCTTATCCCCAAATGCTTTCTCTCACCCCCCAGACATAGCCTCAACTTCCAATCCCTAGCACTTATCCCAACTCGAGTCCTAAGCCTGACTCCAACCCCTACCCGAGTTATAGCCCAAACCCGAGCTCGAGGCTTAACTCTCTCACCTTTACACTTACCTAAACTCTAACCCTAGCTCCTGTTGTATACCCAACCATAGGACTAACCCCGGGTTTAATACAAACCCCCGGCACGGACCACGACCCTAACCTAAACCCCAATCCTACCCCGAAACCGAACCCCAAACCCAACAACCAAAGGTCACGGGTGAGCCCTCGCCCGTGCTCGGCTTGGGGCTGGCGTTAGGGCTGCGGTGCCACTGTCAGGGCGACTGTGAGCCCTGACAGATGAGTCTTAGAGTCAGGGCACGTGTCACTACTATTGGTATCGGGGCTAAGCTGGTTGTGACTCAGGGCCAGTGCTATTGCTCCCCAGTGTCAGGGCTATTGTTAACATCGTGAACGCCGCCTCCAGCGCCGAGCCTCGAGTCACGTTGGGGGCGACTGCGATTCTCTCTCCTCCTTCTGAGTCATCCCCCGCCCCGCGCCGCGTGGCAGCGGTGACCCGGAATCGAACCTCCGGGGTCACTGTGCACATCGGTCACGGCACAGCCACACGTGACTCATCCCAGACACCCCCGTCTCGTAATCCACACGCCGCGTGACTCCCGACTGTGCACAAAGGTCATTGCGCAAGCCAAGCTGCTGAGCTGCTTGCTGTCTCCGTATGGGGGGGGGGGGGGGGGCAGATCTCCCGATCTCGTTTCAGAGACCTCTTGCGTGCCATTGTCTGGGACTCCGCGGTGGAGAGTGAGGAGTGAGCGGAGGGGTAAGCAGGCAAATCAGTCAAGAACCCCCCCCACCTCCACCAGATTATAAACCCCAGCCCCCCACACCCAAAACAGCAAATTATTGGGGAATATTCAAAAACATTGGGAGTGGAGCGGTCGCGCAACGGTTAGCGCACTGTGTTCTAAATTCGGCGACCTGAAGCTCGGTTAGCATCAGTGGCAGCAGCGAGTGATTATTGTAACTCGTCCTGGGGACACCGGGGTTGGTGGATCGGGTTACGATTGGTGTGGAGCTGGTGTTGGTGTTCAGACAAACTTCACAGATGACATCAAAACAAAAACAATCAAATGTTACAAGTTACAGCCCTCGGTCAATCCACTGCTGGGTGAAGGCCTCCCCATGTGTCGGTCACTTGAACCATATTTCACCACGCTGGTCAAATGTGGGGGGAGAGGAGGCACAGAACGAGTTTAGATAGAACGCGCCACTGATGTCAGCCGTGACCGGGTAATCAAACACTGCACCACCGCTCCGATCGTTCGTAATATCAACGATCATAATGCCCTCTTGATTTACCCAAGGAACGAGCGGGGGGCGGGGGGGACTTCACCGAGCCTCCCGGCTCCTTTGGGAGGCTCCTCCTGCTTTGCGGTGCTTTGGCTGTTCTGAATTTAGAGTGTGAGAGTGTGGTCAGGAGATCGTGATGGGCGGGGGGGGAGTTAAGGCGGGGGTGCGAGAGTGTGGTTAAGGCGGAGGGGGGGGGCGAGAGTGTGGTTAAGGCGGGGGGGGGCGGGACTAAGAGGCCCCCCCCCACCCATGCCCCACTCAATCCAGACAAATATTTGCCTGGGCTATGAGGTCACATCTTTGAGTTGGGATTTTGCCCAAGTCACATGACGAATCGCAACGCACAGCACCATTGCTCTTCTCGCGCGTTGTGGGAGCAGAAGCGGCGGCGGCGGCGATGAGATTCCGGCCACGACGAGAGGGCCTTTCACGACAGTGTTGCTCGTGTCAGAATCTTTATTTGGAATCGGAATATTATTTAGAAATCCGATGAGCTATGAAGCTCTTTTTCACAGATGTCCAGTCGGGGCACGGGGCAGAAAAATACAACAATAAACAACACACAAACAACCCCCAAAGGAGTGCAAAGTACACTATAGGTAAGGTGAGCAAATCACAACAAATAAATAAGTAAAATAGATTAAGTATAAGTTCAAATCGAATAAGTACTAGCCTTGCCGTCTTCAATTGAAGGAGCGCAGACCACAGTGGATTACGATACGATCCTTAGTTTGGTTTTTCATGACCACAATCACACAACTGTGGCTTGCTGTAAATGTATCTCCATTGGTCCCTATGAGTCTGTGCGTCTCTATGAGTTGACTACACGATTCATAGTTTGCGTTTCTATGACCACAGTCGCACTACTCTGGCATGCGTCTTCAATGTCCCACTCCTGAAGGAGCTGTGTGCATCGGCCTGTCGTTGATGTTTCGCAGAGCACAGTGACGCCACCTCTTCACGAGTCACTTCATCCACACCATCATCATCATCGCCGGATGAAGGCCTCCTCATGCCGTGTCGGTCGTCGGGGGTTGTTGGGCCATACTTCACCGCGCTGGTCAGTGCAGGTTGGGGAAGGTGGAGAGGGGGCTCAGCCACCGGTTCTGATACCCACTCCCCACGCACGTCAGCCGTGGCCTGGGATCGAACTCGGGTCGCCGGATTCGTCGGCGCGATGTTCTAACTGCCGCACCTTGTCACTCGGCAACAGATTTTAATGTCTGAACGTGACTGAGCGTGCGTGGCAAAGCACACGAGCGGGGTTTATTTGGAGACAGGATCAGCTGACACAGGTGAACGCCACGGCCATGCAGATCAAACGCACACAGCGGGCGATCAAAGGGGGAGGTGGGGCAGTGATCTCAGAGGAGACGACAATCACGAAGGATTTACCGCAGCGACGCGACGAAAAACACTGCCCACGTGTCGCCGCGCCCGTCATACAGACGTGCGCCCGTCTGTGCCTGGGCATTGATCCTTCGCCAACAAGCCGGCCGCATTGCCCTCGGCGGCTGTCGATGAAAATTTCAGAGCGGAGTCAAAAGATTAAGTCTCTATACTCTTTGGTTCTTTCGGTAAAGTCACGTACCTACGTGACTTTACCGAAAGAACCAAAGAGTATGGATTCCTGCAGTCACGAAAGCTTCAAATCAAGATTCAGTCTCCTGACCCAATACGGCTCTCAACAGTGGATAGCCGAGGTATCTCGCAGATTTACTGACCTCCCTTCCCCCCCAATGTGTGCCCATCATCCCGAAGGCTTTCTGCTCTTCGATGGCCCATGGCCGCCGCGCGTTTCCCCAGACACGGCTCCTCCATCTCCCTCCTCCTCCTCCTCACTCCGGGTGGCGGTGGCCACCGCTGCTGCTGCCGCGCTGCTCGCCGGCTGTGCAGCGAGCGCCCAGGTGCCCTGGCTGGTGCCGCTCGCGATTTCGCAGGAAGCGCCAGCGTGGCTTTTAAAACTCGGCGTCAGGACGCGTCGGCTCTCTCGATTGCAGCTCCTCAATGCCGCTTCGTTTTCCCTCCGCCTTGGGCCAGCGATCGTTTCGTTTCTTTACCGAGTGCAATGGAAAGCACCGCGTGTACACCTCGTACAAAGGCTCTTTTTATAAATGTGATCCATTATTATTATTATAACTGAACAGGTGACCGGGGCGATGGAGGACGGTGCCCCAAGGAGGCTCAAGGTCACTCACTCGCACTGTGCAGTTTTAATGAATGAATGCAGCTCAGAAAAAAAAACTAATTCTCCCCGCCACCCCCACCCCTCCTCCTCTAGCGAAATCCTGCTGGTAGCGGTGTGTGCAGTGAGCTCCGGGTCCGTGTGATGCATCATTACCTGATGACGGCGTGCACAGGGCCGAGACATCGCAGCCGGCTACGGCCGGCTGGGTGGCTCCAGGGGTCGGGACGCGGAGGCTGCCACCGGTGAGGTCGCGGGCGCCGCTCCGGGCTTCAGCCACTGCCTGTGATCAAACCGAGTTCTCTCAAGTGTCGTGAGTTGATGGTCTCAGCCGTGTAACGCTTGGTTTACATAGAGACCCACAGACTCGCATAGAGACCCACAGGCTCGCATAGAGACCCACAGACTCGCATAGAGACCCACAGGCTCACATAGAGACCCACAGGCTCACATAGAGACCCACAGACTCGCATAGAGACCCACAGGCTCGCATAGAGACCCACAGCCTCGCATAGAGACCCACTGACTCCCATGAGAACCATAGACTCACATAGACAGTGGTGATGAAACTGGGTTCTCTCAAGTGTAGTGAGTTGATGGTCTCAGCCGTGTCACTCATGGTTTACATAGAGACCCGTAGGCTCACGTAGAGTCCCAAAGGGTAACCTAGAGACCCATAGGCTATTGTAGAGACCCACTGACTCACACAAATAACCATAGGCTAACGTAGAGACCCAGGGGTTTACATAGAGATCCATTGATTCGCATGGAGACCTATTGACTCACGTAGAGAACCACAGACCCGCACAAACCGAGTTGTGATTCAGCCGGGTTCGTTCAAGTGTGGTGAGTTGATGGTCTCATGCCGGTCGCCAATGACTGCACACAAAAACCCCCCTGATCACATTTTAATTTGGTTTCACTTTTAATTTTGGCTAAATTCCAGCTTTTACATTTTTAAATATCAGTTTGAGAACATTCCGCTCACATGGCAGAGAGGGGGTGTGGAAAGCGCAGCCCCCTCTGCTGTGTGCACCAAAGATCACCTGATTCACATTGAGCATCTTTATTTATGCTGGAGAAATGTTTGTTTGTATGCATGTTGAACTTCTTTCGCACCGTACAAGCCAACCGCGCTAATCGGAGGTGCGGGTGGAAAGATAACAAACTAAACACAGAAAGCAAATCCAATGAGCGACGAACCTCTTTTTCACAGACGTCCAAGCAGGGTTTCAGAGGCAGCTCCGTGATATACACTTCCCGCGGGCCGTTCTCTAACACGCGGTGAACATTCCAAAACAAGGATCCTTCGTCCGCTTGGAATTGTCGGTGGCGCGGCGAGGATAGAGTCGGGGGGAAGCTGACTGAAAAAAAAAATAAACAAAGCCAAGCGTGGAGAGGCGAGGAACAACTCCGCAGAAGTTTCTGGCCGTGCTGTTATCCACCGCGCACATTGACGGTAAAATTATTTGAACTTTGTTAACGCGTCGCCGCGCTGTGCCTCCGCTCACGGAGGCCGAGGTGGAGCCAGAGACGAGCGGCGCGCAGGCAGCAGCCTGCAGTCGACCCGCGCTGCCAACAGGCGCCCAAAGCTCTGCGGTCCTCGACATTAGAGTTGGAATCTTGATATCGACTGGAGGGATCCGATAAGCTAGGAAGCTCTTTTTCGCAGATGACCAGCAGCAGGTCGAGCTGTAAGTGCTCTGACACGTGTGGCATTGTCTTTGTACTGTTCGCCTTGGCAATCTCTGCTCTGACACTGGTGGTGAGATAAGGCAATAAAGAAGGCTGCCGTCTCTGGTGTTGGCCAGTCAGTTTCAAAGATAACGCAAATATTATCGGAGCATGTCTCTTTGCATGTTTTGCCACAAGTGCGTGTGGTTAATGCAGACTTGATGCCTTGAAAAAGGTATCGATTTGGTGTTCCAACATCTGAACACCTCCTGTTTTGTTCTTATTTTCCATCAGGTCCAGTATATTAAAGTGCCGTCAACCATTCACACACCCACACACAAAGAGTCCGCCACGTGGCATATTCGGGCAAGCCCCTACCTGCATTCTGAGCTCGTCCAAGTACTGGCTGAGGCGTCTCAGGGGCTTTACCCTCCATTATTTGAGCGCGCAGATATTATTAGCGGGTGGTGTTTGGACTGGCTTAATTACCCATTGTCAGTGGCGCATAAGCTGCAAGTCAGACGCAAATGAATGATCTGTGGACTGACCTCCGTTACGCATTAACAGCGATTGCATTGTTTCAGCACCATTCTACGGGACCATGAGCAAGCACAAATAATCGCCATCGTCATCAACACCGATGCGCGTGCAACCGACACGTCCAGGCTTGGCTCCACGTGGGCAAAGCTAACCAACCGTGGCTGCCTGCATTTACTCTCTGTTGCAATCAAGTTGACAGACCGGTCTCTGATGGGGTTTGTAGATCATAGACAAACTGGTCTCTGATGGGGTCTCTAGATCACAGACAGACTGGTCCCTAACGAGGTCTCTAGATCACAGACAGACTGGTCACTGACGGGGTTTCGAGATCATAGACAAACTGGTCCCTAACGAGGTCTCTAGGCTATAGACAGACTGGTCTCTGATGGGGTCTCTAGGCTATAGACAGACTGGTCTCTGATGGGGTCTCTAGATCACAGACAGACTGGTCTCTAACGGGGTCTCTAGGCTATAGACAGACTGGTCACTGACGGGGTCTCGAGATCATAGACAGACTGGTCCCTAACGAGGTCTCTAGATCATAGACAGACTGGTCTCTAACGGGGTCTCTAGATCATAGACAGACTGGTCCCTAACGAGGTCTCTAGATCACAGACAGACTGGTCTCTAACGAGGTCTCTAGATCATAGACAGACTGGTCTCTAACGAGGTCTCTAGGCTATAGACAGACTGGTCCCTAACGAGGTCTCTAGATCATAGACAGACTGGTCTCTAACGGGGTCTCTAGGCTATAGACAGACTGGTCTCTGATGGGGTCTCGAGATCATAGACAGACTGGTCCCTAACGAGGTCTCTAGGCTATAGACAGACTGGTCCCCGATGGGGTCTCGAGATCATAGACAGACTGGTCTCTGATGGGGTCTCTAGATCATAGACAGACTGGTCTCTGATGGGGTCTCGAGATCCTAGACAGACATGTCACTGACGGGATCTCTAGGCTATAGACTGGTCCCTAACGGGGTCTCTAGATCATAGACAGACTGGTCACTGACGAGGTCTCTAGGCTATAGACAGACTGGTCACTGACGGGGTCTCGAGATCATAGACAGACTGGTTGCTAACGGGGTCTCTAGGCTATAGACAGACTGGTCCCTAACGAGGTCTCTAGATCACAGACAGACTGGTCTCTAACGGGGTCTCTAGATCACAGACAGACTGGTCTCTAACGAGATCTCTAGGCTATAGACAGACTGGTCACTGATGGGGTCTCTAGATCATAGACAGACTGGTCTCTAACGAGGTCTCTAGGCTATAGACAAACTGGTCCCTAACGAGGTCTCTAGATCACAGACAGACTGGTCACTGACGGGATCTCGAGATCACAGACAAACTGGTCTCTGATGGGGTCTCTAGATCATAGACAGACTGGTCTCTGACGGGATCTCTAGATCATAGACAGACTGGTCTCTGACGGGGTCTGGAGATCATAGACAGACTGGTCTCTGACGGGATCTCTAGATCATAGACAGACTGGTCTCTGACGGGGTCTCCAGATCACAGACAGACTGGTTTCTAACGGGGTCTCAAGATCATAGACAGACTGGTCTCTAACGGGGTCTCAAGATCATAGACAGACTGGTTTCTAACGGGGTCTCTAGACCACAGACCGAGCGGTCTCTGGCCGGGTTGTGGTGGCCCCAATCTCCCCTGCTCTCAGCTGGGCTCCCAGCCCCTGCCTCGCACCCCAAACGTCACTCCGATTCGGGGCCGAGAGCGCGGCAGCGAGAGCCGTTGGCACACGCAGGGAGCTCAGCTGATGCTGGGGTGAAGATTCGTGGGATTGTCGCGTTTGAGAGTAAAAGCGTCTCGCGCTGCACCACACGGTTAGCTACGTACGGTGCGAAAGAAGTTCAAAATACATACATACAGTAGGCACGCTCGTGCAGTGACGCACCTATCATCGTGTGTGCAGGTGGTGCAACTGCTCCGGCGCCCCACGGCCTGGAGAAGGGTGCCCGGGCGCCGAGCTACATCGAGAAAGGGGGAGAAATTGGACAAGAGGAGGGGGGCGGGGGGAAGGGGGAGGGACAGGGAGGGGAATTTCATTGCATGCACCAGGACCCACGCCAACCACATTCCACGACCATCTACGGATCTCCATGCTCGAGTTGTACACGGCTCTCCGTGTGAGTCCACGGACCTGTGCAGATGCATGGGTCTCTCTCTTGGGTGAGTTTAGAGAGGTCTCGATGCGAGTCCATGGTCAGTGGCGTAGCTATGCTGTGTGCAGGCGGTGCAACTGTGTAGAGGATTCGAAGGCTGGTGGGGCCCAGGTTCCGGGCTACGAAAATAGGAGGGAGGTGGGTGGGACGGGTTTGGGCATGGGGATTGGCCAATGCTCATGCCCAAGTCATTCCTGGCATCCAGAACTGTGCCCTCTATTTACGCCTGAATCTATGATCTCCCCTCGGAAACGCATGGCACTTTAAATTAAATAATCTAAACCTTTACCAGATGGCGGCGTGGGCGGAATGTGTGAGATCGCAATAATTGCAATGAAACCGCGTGGCACCAGGCGCCTGAGTCACCATGCGAGGGGATGTCAACAGCCTCCCTCTCCTGCGAGAGGGCCGAGTTTGATTCCAGCTCCCACGCACACCCGCGCACGATCGCCAAAGTTCACGGCGGAAAAAATGAAATTCCCCTTTGTTTTGGCGGCCCGGCGCTCGCGGATCTGCCGCTTGCTTGCAGAGGTTCGCTGGTTCGAATCCCGCGGGCCGCCCTGGCAATTGCCGCTGGCTAATTCATCTTAATACTCCCGACTGCGCGCCATAGGCTTCACTCACGGTGGACGTTAAAAGATCCACCGCATCGTCGTTCGAAACGAGTAGGAGGCCATCGCGGGCTGGCGTCACGCTCCAGATTTGACCAAATGACACCGTAAAAGCACTCACTTTGGGACCACGTGACAGCGACATCGTCCCCTACTGTGAAACTAGGGCAGCCTGTGCCTGCAAAGCAGAGCGGCGCCTCCCTTCGCGATGATCGCCCTGCGATATAAGAACAGCAGCGCCAATACCATGTACTGAATTATGATTTGCCCGAGTCCGATAAGAGGGCACAGGAACGAGGCTTCCAATTGGAATCGAGAGCTGCGGCTGGATTCTCAGTAAAGGCTAGGCCTCCGTCACTCAAGGTCAGGATGCTCCACGGAAATCTTGGGCCGTGTACACCAGCAGTAGGGGTGGCAGGGTGGCACTGCGTTGTTAATGCTTGTGCCCCACAGCAAGAAGTGCCTGAGTTCGATTCCCGACTCAGGCGTCTTTCTGCGTGGAGTTTGCATGTTCTCCCCTTGGTTCTGCGTGAGTTTCCTCTGGGTTCTACGGTTCCCTCCAAAACCCACACACACACACAGTGTAACTAGTACAGTATTAGTCAAAGATCCCCAATTCTGAAAAGTGACATGCAAATCATTCAATTGGAATCACTCGCCGCAGCAGTGGTAGCGGCGGCATCGCCTCCCCTACTGCACAAACACGGCATGACCCTCCTGACAAACACTTCTCGAGACTCGGTGAGGCCTTCCCTGGGCAAACTGGCGGGATGAATAATTAAATGAAGTGGTTCCTGCGCTATTTTCCGTTGCCCTGTGGACGTAAACGAGCCTCTCTCTGCCGCTGCCGCCCGCGTCGCCGTCGTGGCATCGCGCGGATGTTTCCGTGGTCGTTGCCGATTTCTTGGACGTTCACGCTTGGCGCGCTCCTGAAGATGCTCCCGGCGGCACGCGGAGCGAAACGTCGGACATCGTCGCGCCGAACAACAACAGCAGCAATGCACGGCGGCAGGCACTACCCGGACACCACATCGGAGGAGACGTAGCATGCCACTGTTGCATCGCGCGCTTTCAGATCCTGCGGCCGTCTGGAACGCTTTTCCCATATTAGGAAGCCACTTTTAAATCTAGATTTATTTATTTTTTTAACAGCTTTTTGCATTTGGTTTGTTTTCCTTCCCCCAGACCTCCGACTAGCATGGTTGGCTACGTCCCCGTGCAAAAGTTAAACGCACACACACATAGCTGCTCGGGATTACACGTCGTGCCTTGGCATAGTCTGGGTGTACGATGACCTGAATGCAACGGCGTGGCCTTGGTCGGCATTCGGCTCCGGTGTAATTAATTCAATAATGGGCCGCCTAACCTCCCTCCTCCGTGCCCCAGTTTCCCCACGACCCCCCCGCCTCCCCACAACTGGGCCCCCTCCAGCTGGTGAGTTGCGATGTCGTTTCACCGCCTGCACGTTGTCTCTCTGGGCAACAGGAGATCTGTCATCTCGACGCCACGTCTGGCACACCTCCACTGGCCCAGGTGGGGCCCTCAGTGACGACTTGACCTCTCTCTGGCACGTCTTCGCCCTCTCTGCCACAGTTGGTCGACTGTTGTTGGGGGCTTCTTTGTCCACCGCACAGTTGGGCCCCCCCACCCTCCCGCCTCTGCGTACGACTGTCGGGAATTTCCGCCCCGGCTGCGGGCTGTTGTCTGCGTGACGGTTGGGACGGCGACTGCTTCCCCTCTGCCGCCTGCGCCGTTGGGGCCCCAGACCACAGCCCCCCAGGGCCGCCGCGGCGCTCGTCGCTGCTGATTGGTCGGCGCGATGCCAAGAGTTACTCACAGGAAATCGATTGCCTCAGTGGAATGTGGCCGGGGTCATGTGACCGGCATGGTCAGCCCATTTCGCCGAAAAGACGTTTCTCCGAAAAACCAAAAACCAACCCGTCACCCCCCCACAAACACCCCCCAACACGAAAACCCCAACATTCACCATCACTCACCCACGCTCACCCCCCCCCCCCCCCCTTCAGCACCGCTCACCACCAATAATCACGACCAATATTTCCTAGCGTTCACCACCACCTCCCACGCACACCATTCCCCCTCACCCACCCTGCCACAACTTGCCACCACTCACCCACCACAACTCCCCACCCTCACTCACCCTCACTCGCTCACACGCACTCTCACGTACCCTCACTCATCACCGACAACACTCACCACCACCCCCAATCACACTTACCACCACCACCACAACTCACCACCACTCACCCTCTTTCACCACCACCTAAGCTCACAACTCACCCGGACATCACTGCACTCCTGCAATCTGCGGGGCCCCCTCAAACACATCGTGTCACCGGGGTGAGCCTCGTGTGGTGTCACCGGGGTGAGACTCGTGTGGTGTCACCGGGGTGAGACTCGTGTGGTGTCACCGGGGTGAGACTCGTGTGGTGTCACCGGGGTGAGACTGGTGTGGTGTCACCGGGGTGAGACTCGTGTGGTGTCACCGGGGTGAGACTCGTGTGGTGTCACCGGGGTGAGACTCGTGTGGTGTCACCGGGGTGAGACTCGTGTGGTGTCACCGGGGTGAGACTCGTGTGGTGTCACCGGGGTGAGACTGGTGTGGTGTCACCGGGGTGAGACTCGTGTGGTGTCACCGGGGTGAGACTGGTGTGGTGTCACCGGGGTGAGACTGGTGTGGTGTCACCGGGGTGAGACTCGTGTGGTGTCACCGGGGTGAGTGGTGTGGTGTCACCGGGGTGAGACTCGTGGAAAGGCACCGTGCGGGGTTGAGGTGCCACCGTGCCCTGCTCTCCGCTGCCCTGCTCACTGCTCGCTGCTGCTGCCCTTCACCACATCCCCTCTACTGCCCGGTCTGCTGGCGCCGTCGTGCAGCTGCAGACAAGGGCAGGCAACGCACCGTCACACCAGCGCGTGTCGCGCATTCAGGATGGCTGACACGGACAGGTTCCCTGAACGGACGCAGGATATGAATGAATACGAATGTGTGTATCTATGCGTGTTGAACTTTTGCACCGTACGTAGCCAACCGTGCTAATCGGAGGTGCGGCGAAAGGACAACAAACAAAACGCAAAAAGCTGTTATCAAGAAATGAGTCTTCAACCTAAATATCGGAAGAAAGAGCGTTCCAGAAGGCCGCAGAAGCGCATCTGAAAGCGCACGATGCAGTGACGGTCTTTGTTCGATGTGAAAGCGGCCGTGCTCTTTGCGTGTGCGCTTGACACAAGGCGGCCGGGTGGCAGTGGCAGCGCAGTGGCAACAAGGGGCTTGGGTTAGATTCTCAACTCTGGTCACTATTTTGTGCCGAGTTTGTACGTGCTCTCTCTCCCCTGTTGTGCATGGGGTTCTTCACACCTGTATTGGGAGAGCGGTGGCGCAGTGGATAGCGCATTGCGCTACGAACCTGGCGACCCGAGTTCGATTCCCGCTCACGGCCAACACCAGTGACGGTTATCTGAACCATGCCGCGCCGGCCTTCGCAGGTGCTCGCGAACAGCACTTGCCCCGACAGCCCGTGTAGGCTACACGGGGGAATCTTTTTTGTCTTTGTGTGCATCGGCGTATAGCCAATGGGAATCTCTTCTCCTTCGGTTGTCCCGGAGATCGAAGGTGCCCCAGCACGGTGCGGGAACGGCCGCTGCTGGCTCGCCCCCCCCCCCCCCCCCCCGTCGCTACGAGACGCGGAAGTGGGCCCCTTCCTCCTCGTGGGGTGGTTATTTTGGTTCGTGGGTGGTGGTGGTGGTTTCTTTTGTTGCACACGGGCGACCATTCCGGCTCTGTGCGTGCTGCGATAAATACTCAAAATGCGCGTCTCCCATCGCCCACTGCGCATACCCCCCCACCTTGCAATGCGTCAGTCGTCGGCCGGGAACTGTCTACTGCTGGATGAAAGGAAATCTCCCCCACTGCCCCCACTCCCTCAGAACCTGAGAAGAATTTGCAACAACATCCCGAGACGTTTCACGAGGGACTGGGGTTGCATCGTGGAGGGTGCAGGAAGTTTCATGATGAGGTTGGAGTTGGTTGAGTGTGCAGACGGTGCACCAATAGCCAGTGGCGGGGGGGGGGGGCGAAGGGTTTCCCTCCTTCATAGCGGTGGACGGCCAGCTTTGTTAAAGGGTCCCTGCGTAACCGGCCACAAAGCTGCGTGCTGTTGACGACAGTTTGCGGCCAGTTCAACGACTTCATCCATTGATTGACCAATCGGATGGAAGTGTAACAGCGCGCGCCCGGGCGGTGCAGCGGAATCACCAGCGGAGCGGGCGAGGCGTCCGCAAGTCACAAGTCGTCCGCAAGTCACAAGGCGCCGCAAGTCACAAGGCGCCCGCAAGTCACAGGGCGCCCGCAAGTCACAGGGCGCCCGCAAGTCACAGGGCGCCCGCAAGTCACAATGCGCCCGCAAGTCACAGGGCGCCCGCAAGTCACAAGGCGCCCGCAAGTCACAAGGCGCCGCAAGTCACAGGGCGCCCGCAAGTCACAGGGCGCCCGCAAGTCACAGGGCGCCCGCAAGTCACAATGCGCCCGCAAGTCACAAGGCGCCCGCAAGTCACAGGGCGCCCGCAAGTCACAGGGCGCCCGCAAGTCACAAGGCACCGCAAGTCACAAGGCGCCGCGCGCTCGTGGAGAAGTGAGCGATGGAGTTTTTCGGTTGGAGTCAACGACAGCCGCCCAACGCGGAGACTCATTTAATTGTTTTTCTTCCAATGTCAGAAAATAGAAGGCTGTGTTTTCCCCACACAGAACGAACGTGGCGGGGGAGGTGGGTGGGTGCTGTTTACGATCCCGAGCCCTTTGTCGGAAATTCCACATTGACATGGTGGGAGCCGGTCTACGCATTGGATCGCCACTCTTGGTTTTTCGCCCACAGGGCGGTGACTCAATTTATTGGAGATCGGAACGGCTGAATTAGACCCTGACAAGAGATTTGAACGTCTCACCATCAGACTGCAAGCCAGATCTCACCATCAGACTGCAAGCCAGATCTCAGAAGCTTAAGCGGGCAATTGTGCCTGAATAGTGCCTGGATGGGCGACCACCGTGCAGAAAACAGGGTGCGAGAGGATACTGCAGGGGCTACGTTGTGGGCAGCATCAGAGGGCAATGCATAAAAATCTACAGTTGGACTATATTTCTACGGTCCGCTCTGCATTCACTAACTGGCACCGACCGGCGTGGTGAACTATGGCCAGATAACCGCCACGACCCAGCCCGGCAGATCCCCTTCAACCAGGCACTGCGAATGACCGCAGGGGGCCGTGTGTAGACACGTAAACATGGTGTACATCATTACCGTTCACAAGCACACACACACTGCGCGTCCTTGGGAGTAAGGTACACACCCTACCTGTGTTTTGTATAAACATACTGCAGCTCAGTGTCTCCATGTAAAGACAGCCTGCCCCCAGACAGCCTGGAGGCCATAGCAACAGAAGGGAGTGGCTGTGGTCCGAGTGTTGAGACAGCCCGATAAATACCGCATGGCTATTGTCATACTCCTGGGGGCGAAGTCATCACTGAACCATCCAGTTTGCAGTTCGACTCCAGCTCTAGGGCTGTCCCGGCTATGCAAATAATGGATGTATAAATGGACTGATTGGATTACACGCAAATAGTTGATGGGGTCGTTGGTGGGGCGGGGAGATAAGTCGAAACCCTCATTTCCCATGCGTGCCGCTGGGCAGGAGATGATGGGTCGGTGCTAGGTGGCAACGTGGGCATTGTAAGCCGTGCCACGCTGCTGAGGGGTGCATATTTAGGGGCAGCTGCCGTAATTTTAAAAGGGGCCCCACGTAACCGACCACAACAGATGTCGTTGGCCATCACTATTCACCGTCCCGGCTCTATTTAGTTATTCGACTCTCACCAGGCTGCTGGTCCCCGCGGTTTGCTTCCTCACGTTTGCTGAAAAGTGCTGATCCTACGGATGCACTGGCCCCTGCCATGCAAACGTCGAATGTATAACTACTGCCGGTTTGGAGCTGAGCAAACGTGGAGGAAGGCACAGCCCTGTTACTCATTTGTTGACATTTCAACTTTTAAGGTGTTTGCAGCTATCTGATGTTAGTCAGCGAGGCGTACTGTTTGATCATTCCTGAGTTGGCCATTGTGTGGCAGATTTACAATAAGACCCCCCCCGCCCACCCTCTGTGGATGAGCGGCTCAGAGGTCAGAGTATTGAGCTGACACTGCTGAGACCCTGGGTTTAAATCCTGGCAGCCACCTTGAATAAACTGGGTTCTCAAATACAGTGGAGTTTATGGTCTCCAAAAGTCTCATTACATTTGGTTCTGCATTTAATTTGACTAAATTGCAGCTCTGAGAAAAAAAAAGTCAGTTAACTAGAATCAATGTTGTCTTTTACCAGGAAAGGCCCACCGAGTTCGGCAGCTCTTCTGCAGAAGCGACCTGGTCACAAATGGTAGCTCAACAAAGGGGTTATCATCATGTGAATCATTTGGCGGGACCCCGGGGTCCTGCAAAAATCAGGTCAATAATTATTTTTCAGTCCGCCCACTCGTGACCCCGACAGCAACGTGCCGCTCGCCCAGACTTGCGCCAACAAGCGCCAGCAGGTGGCGATCAACACGATGGGCGCCACCCCACCGGCCAAACGCAAGCCCGGGGGGCGTCCGCCGCAGTCGCGCGCGGCGACGACGCCCTCCGGTCAGCCGTCGATCCTCGGCTTCTTTGCCAAGGCGAGCCCGCCCCCGCAGTGAATTTAACGTGTTTATGTAATTTTTCAACTTTTTACGAAACTTAGTGCCCCGAGTAGCTCTCGACGAGGCCAATCGATTGACGCTAGTTTTGTTGTCGGTAAGGCGAGACTCGTGTCGTTACGCGGTTTTTCCCACCCCGGGGCAGTGATGTGACCCCGGGGTCCCGCCAATTACCACATGTGGAAATTTAAAGCAGCCAAAAATTTGCATGTTTCTAAA